CTCCTGCCCAGGCTGGCTTTGAACCGTGATCCTCAGATCTCAGCCTCCAGAGTAGCTAGGATTACAGGTGTGAGCCACCAGCGCCCAGCTTAAATAAACTGTTTTTAAAGGCCAGATTAAAGTCTAATTGGCATGCAATCAAGGTTAGCCCTCTGCATAGACAGTTCTGGGAAGAAGAGACAGGAAACATAACACCTTTCCCTGGATGCATTGCTTTATACAGTAGGGCAATGCACTCAGCTTTAGAATTATCCACACAGTTCTCCAAGGTCCTTGCACAAACTCATCTTCCCATCACTGTCTGAGAGTTCTGTTCTATATAGTCCTCAAAATTGCTGGTGGATGCCTGGTGCCGGTGGCTCACGCCTGTAATCCTAGCTACTCAGGAGGCTGAGATCTGAGGATCACGATTCAAAGCCAGCCCGGGCAACAAAAGTCCGTGAAACTCTTGTCTCCAATAAACCCCCAGAAAACCGGAAGTGGCGCTGTGGCTCAAGTGGTAGAGTGCTAGCCTTGAGCTGAATGCTGAGGGACGGTGCCCAAGCCCAGAGTTCAAGCCCCACAACCGATCAAAAAAAAAAAATTGCTGGTGGCTCACACCTATAATCTTAGCTACTCAGGAGGCTGAGATCTGAGGATTGTGGATCAAAGTCAGCTTGGGTAGAAAGGTCCCTGTGAGACTCCTATCTCCAATTAACCACTCAAAAATAGGAAGTGAAGCTGTGGCTTCAAGTGGTAAAACACCAGCCTTGAGCAAAAGAGCTCACTGACAGCACCCAGGCCCCGAGTTCAAACTCTACAACCAAAGGGGAAAAAACACAACTAGTAAATTATAATTTCTCCCTCATAGCCAGAAAATGTGGCTACTTGTATAGAAGAGAGCTCTGGTAACTGGCAGGCTCTGATCCCAGCCTTATCTAGCATTCTTTAAAAAAAAAAAAAAGACCCTTTGAAGTTCTTGTGTCTTAACTGGCCCAAGTTCTTCTGCTAGCAGCCCCCAAAATCCAGTCTTCATTTCTGAAAGTGAATACATAGACAACCCTACTTTCCACGGACAATAAAACTGTTAGTGGGGTAGAAGGCAGGTTGAAAGGAGAGGTTCATGGGTCCATGGAGTCTGGAAACGATCAGAAGAGGGTAAGCTGAGTAATAGTGAAGTTGCTGCTTTGCAGATGTTAAAAAAAAAATCCTGCCTGAGAGGTCTGAAGATGTGATTATTCAAATCTAGTGTTGAAAGAATGCAGGTGGTTATGGGACAGAAGGTAAAGCCTTCCACTCTACACAGCAGTCTGTGGCCAACAAGGAGCCAAGGATGGAGGGGAGGGTGGCCTTGCCCTCACTCAGGGCATGCTGGAACGCACACCCTGGGGGAAGGGGTGAGTGCAGCTGCCAGGCTCTGAGTCAGCCTGCCTGTGGCAGTGGGAAGACAAGGGGCCTCACGTGGCAGGGCCTCTGCTGCCTCGTGGAGTCTTCTGGCACTCAGCCCTGCAGGAAGTGTGGCTGTTTGAAAGGACGAATCACATATGGCCTTATCCTCCTGGGGCCTAGCCAAGACCACTTCCCCAAAAGGCTATGGGGGTGAAGGCGGGGCTCCAAGGACATCCAATCCTGAGGCAGGAAGGCAGCTCCCAAGGGTTTCATAGTGGAGTGTAAGGAGGGGTAGGGCTGGGGGTGGGAGGGCAGCGGCTAATGGTTTTTCAGAGATCTGGAGGAGGTGGGGAGGTGGGTGAGCCAACCCCTGGGGTGACCAGGAGGAAAGGGGGAAGAAGGAGAACCAAGGAAGGGGAGGGGAAGGAACAGGCTGGTATCTGTTGGCATGCACATAGCCAAGGATGCGTGGGAAATTTCACTGTACTGGGCTTCTATTTCCTCATCTGTAAAATGGGGAGGATAAAGCCTCTATTTGGGATGGATATAGATTGGATCAAACAAGTTGATGGATGAAAAACTCTGATAAATAGGAGCAGTGTGGGAATTAAGAGGAGATGGGGGCCAGGTGTCAATGGCTCACACCTGTAATCCTAGCTACTTAAGAGGCTCAGATCTGAGGTTGGTGGTTTAAAGCCAACTGCAGGCAGAAAAATCCATGAGACTTATTTCCAATTAATCATCAAAAGGTAGAAGTGGAGCAGTGTGTGGCTCAAGTGGTAGAACACAGCCTTGAGCGAAAAACTAAAGGACAGAGCCAAGACCAGGACCAAGCCCAAGGCACCTGCACGTGCGTGGAGATGGGGTGAGGCAGTAGACAGAGCCTAAAAACATTTGGTTGAAATGCATGGAAATGTAACAAGCAGATCTCCTTCTGTATAACTAAAGTAAGCTAAATTAAAAAAAATAAAGTTCACCTGGGTGCAAGTGCTAATGCCTGCAATCTTAGCTACTCAGGAGGATAAGATCTGAGGATCACAGTTCAAAGCTAGCCCAGGCAGGAAAGTCTGTGAGACTCTTATCTCTAATTAACCACACCCCCCCAAAACAACAACAAAAAACCCAGAAAGTGGAGCTATGGCTCAAGTGGTAGAGAGCTAGCCTTGAGCAAAAAAGTTCAGGGACAGCACCCAGGCCCAGAGTTCAAGCTCCAGGACCAGCAAAATGAATAAACAAACAAATCCAAACACTTAAAAGGGGCCAGTCTGACAGCTTTTTGCCTGTTGTGGATGGAAGTTTTGGGGGGATGGGATGGGAAAGCTGAGTAATCTGCGGGATGCTTTCAGCACACACACACACACAAAATGGAAATGGCATGAGGTGCTGGGATGCAGGGAGGGACAAGGGTTACCTGACTTCATGTCTTTTATTTAGGGCAGCTGTAATCCATCCAACTTCATCCTGCTCTGATTCTCAAAAATTAAAAAAAAAAGTACAATCCCCTGTCCCTTAGTTTCTGCTTTGTTCTTTTGAGAAGTAGCCGCCACCTTTATCAGGGAGTCAGTAAAAAAAAAAAATCCACTGCCTGAGGCTGGCAGATTCAACCAAATCACCCTCCTCATATTCAGATCTGGGTGTTGGCTCAACCAGTCTGGCCCTAGCTCTCAAGTTCTCTAAAGATCACTGATTAGGGTTCCAGATGTCAAAAACAAATATGAGGGTTTGAGAATGTGGCTTAGTGGTAGAGTGCTTGCTTAGCATGCATGAAGTCCTGGGTTCGATTACTCAATAACACAAAAACAGAAAAAGCTGGAAGTGGCACTGTGGCTCAAGTGCTACAGTGCTAGCCTTGAGCTAAAAGAAGCTCAGGGTTAGTTCCCAGATCCTGAGTTCTAGCCCCAGGACTGGCAAAAAAAAAAAAACACCAAGTAAACCACAACAATAACAAAAACAAATAGGGCTGTCTTGTGGGGAAGGAGTTGTCTGTCTGCAGAAGTAGTTGAACTGGACATGGGGATTGGTACTTAAGTCTGGGATAGATAGCAGAGCTCAACAGGTCTGGTTGCCCATCTGTGATCCCAACCAGGGCTCAGCAGGTGGAGTCAGCATCAGCCACTTTTCCAGCAATTTGGTGGTGGAGAAACAAGGGGGATCCAAACAGGTAACCCCAGGCTGCTTGTACTGGGTCCAGTGCAGGTCCTGCTCCAGGATGATTCCATCTCTATCTAGTCCCCCACTGTCTTCTAGGTTAGGGGTCAGGCCAGCCTGTTGTTGTCTTTCCATGTACCTCACACAACTTTAGCAGTCGGGGACTTGGTGTGGCTTCACTCTGAGTAGAGAGAGGCCAGGATATTATGTTCCATGTGCCAGCTGGAACAGCTGTAATCAGCTGGCAGAAAGGAGCCTGGCTGAGAATGATAGGGACTGGGATAGGAACTGTCATGAATTCCACCAGGTCCACTCCCCAGCCTGATAGCTGAGGCCCCACACTGTCTCTGGGCACATCCCTCCATGAACCTACAATTAAACCTATGTGTTGAATCTGAGGTAAAAAGGCCATATACTTTTGCACCCCTAACTTGACGTAACAGGACCCCAGAAGTGCAGAATGCACTTCCTGATCTATCCCTGGGACACCTTGTCCTTCATTTCTCATCTCCAGCATCCAGGTCACTCCAGTCCCATCTTGTACCTTGCCCTGAGAGTGATTGTGGGAGCCACAGTCCAGGTGTACTCATGGGGGACAGCACTACCACAGGTGGATCTTCGCAATGTGCAGCTGAATGCCAAGGGGCAGCCTAGCAAAAAGGTTTCCCAAAGTCTTTGTCTATGCACATTTAAGAGGATAAACGATGCAGAAGGGGAGAGAATGAAGACGGGAAGAAACTGAGAGAACGGCCAGAAAGGGTTGGGGTCTGAGGCACAGGCCACGAGGACACCCTTGGGGCATACCAAGAGGTATGAGAGTCCACTTTCATTAAGAAGGAGTATCTGCCAGGTGCCAGTGGCTCATGCCTGTAATTCTACTCATCTGAGGAACAAGGCTGGAAGCCAACTCAAGCAGGAAAGCCCCAGGGCAGTAGGGGAAGATGGATGGAAAATCCAGTGAGGCCTTAACGACCTTTGGGCCCATGCTTTCAAGGTCAATGCCTGGTAGGACCATTTAAATTCCAAGGTATAAATCCCTTCGGATGGCCTACTTGGAAGGAGTGAAGGGACCTCCTTACACTAAACCCAAACAAAATGGTCTTTCCTAATAAGTGCTTGCCTCAGCTGTCACTGGGGGTGACTGACTTGCCAGGGGCACACGGTTGTGACCGGTTAGGACCAGAGTTCGAAACCTATGCCAAACCCAGACCCATATTTAACACCCCGGAGTTTGCACTAAACCATCCTCCCTCCCTCCCCCCCACCCCCAGCAACGTTATTGTCTCCAGGGGCAGAGCCCAGGAATCTGCCTGCATCTTAACAGGCCGCAGAGATCCCCGCACTGCCACAGCCTGCACGGCCAGGGGCCTCTTCCGGAAAGTCCGCCTGCCGTTCGCCGTCGGGCCGCTGCGCCCCCTGGCGGCCTCCGGGGTAGTGGCCAGGGGTGAGGCCGGTCCGGAGCTCCGGGCGGCGCCCCGCGTGCCCGCGCTGCACGTGAGCGGCGCGGCCCCGGCCGGGAGCTCGAACCCGGAGGAACCCTGGGGGAGGACCTGGAGGCCCACGGGAGCCCCAGGTCCCCGCGTGGGAAGGCGCCAACCGCACCGAGATCCTGAAGCACCGCCCTGAACGTGAGGCTCCACCCACTCCGCCCGTGTGGCGCGTCTGCTTCCAGCGTGCGCAGGCTCCCTCAGGCCGCCATTACGCTCCCGCCGCGGTGTTAGTCCACAGGTTAGAGGTCTACGAGTCCGGAGGAAAGGCCGAGTGCCAAGTCTCGACGACAGCGGCCTACAGCTGCAGGAGCCGCACATTTAGGGCGAGGTGTTCGCTATTTGGCTGACGGTGGTAAGAAACTACAACTCCCAGAGTGCATTGCGCCGCGGGGTGGCGGGGGACAGTGACGGAAGGGGTGTTGGCCGCTACCATTTCTCTGGCGGGAACGGGGGAGGAGGGAGGAAGATGGCGGGAGCTGATGACGTACTTTGCTGGCGGGTCGCGGGAGGTCAGCGTCCGGGAACCTGGGGTAGGTTCTGCAAGCGCCTTAGGCAATCTTCCAGATTGATCAATTTAAAGTCTGTTTAGCCTTCTCCACGGCTACCTGCTGACCATACCTCCTGCTTTTCAGCCTTCGGGCTGACACCGCGCCGCACAGATATCAGTATTATAGTGAAATGGTTGTAGTCAGGTTTCTTTGGCTGAGATGCATCCGTTGTTAGTCTCACTTTTTTTTTCTCTCTCTCTTTTCTCAGTCCCTTTTCTCCCAGACCATCAGTTAATTTCAGATTAAACAAGGACACACCAGGCCCAGAGTTCAAGCCCCACGGCCGACAAAAAAACAAAACAAAGCCAAAACATAAGGACACATTCCTACATTCAAAATCAGGAAACAGTAGCCAGGTGCCAGTGGTTTATGCCTGTAATCCCAGCTACTCAGAAGGCTGGGGATCTTGCTTTGAAGCCAGCAAAGGCAGAAAAATCCATGATAATCCTATCTCCAGTTAACCACCAAAAAGCCAGAGGTGGAGTTGTGGCTCAAGTAGTAGGGAACCAGTCTTGAGCCAAAAAAGCCAAGCAAGAGTTAGGCCCTGAGTTCAAGCCCAAGTTCTGGCACTAAGGGGAAAAAAATTCAGAAGCTGGGCACTGCTGGCTCACACATGTAATTCTAGCTACCCGGGAGATTGAGATCTGAGGATTTTGGTTCAAATCCAGCCTGGGCAGGAAAGCCCATGAGACTCTTTATCTCCAACTAACACCAGGAAACTGGAAGTGGAGCTGTGGCTTAAAGTGGTAGAGCACTAGCTAGCCTTGCGCACAAAAGCTCAGGGACAGTACTCAGGCCCGACTTCAAGCCACACGATCAAGAGAATTTTAGAACTTGCAACCTGAATTCCTAATATGGGCTAATGTCCTAATAATAATGCCCTAGATGAAAACTATCTTAGTTTGGGATCCATTCCAGGAACACACATTGAATTCAGCTATTGAGGTTCCTGGGATTTTCCAGACTCTCATGACCTTGGAATTTCTGTAGCTGGGCAACTGTTTTGTACAACTAGGTTTAGAATTGTCTGAAATGTCTTCACCTATGGACACTGCTGTGTGGTGCTGATGAAGTATTGGATTGTCCAGGGGCTGGGATTGTGTTGGGTGGGTGAGAGGAATTCGTGTTCAGCTACACCAGGCTCTGAACAGCACTCCCGGACCCTGCTAGGTCACAACATTTTGTGGAGGCTTCCCTAGCAGGAGTTTTCATTCTTAACCTCATCTCTGGCTTCCTTGTAGTACCCTTCCTGGAGCCATGGTCCATGCCTTCCTTATCCACACCCTGAGGTCCCCAAATGTGGAAGACCGAAGCCTTTGCCGAGTGCTCTACTCCTGCGTCTTTGGTGCTGAGAAGTCACCAGGTGATCCAAGGCCACATGGTGCAGAGCGGGACAGGCTCCTCCGAAAGGAACAGATTTTGGCTGTGGCCAGGTAACCACAGAGCCTAGCTTGAGGCTTCACTGAGTATATGGTAGGATATGATAGGTTTTGTGGGTCATACAGAGAAACAGGAGGACTAAGAAACAGAAAAGTTTAAGAGTAGCATTTCCCAGTCTTATATGGTTGTTTATAAGTTTTCTTTGTTTTTTTGTTTTTGGGTCAGTCATGGGTCTTGAACTCTGGGCTTGCGTGCTGTCCTTGCACTCTTCAGCTCAAGGTGAGCATTCTACCGCTGAAGGAACAGCGCCACTTCCAGTTTTCTAGTGGTTTATTGGAGATAAGAGTCTCATGGACTTTCCTGCCTGGGCTGGCTTTGAACCGGGATCCTCAGATCTCAGCCTCCTGAGTAGCTAGGATTATAGGCGTGAGCTACCTGTGCCTGGCTGTTTATAAGTATTAATATGAAAAAGGCTGAAGAAATAATAATGCTGTTACATTATTATTTTATTTATTTATTTTGTTAGTCGTGGGGCTTAAACTCTGGGCCTGGGCACTCACTTGCACTCTTCAGCTCAAGGCTAGCGCTCTACCACTTGAGCCACAGCACCACTTCCAGCTTTTTCTGTTTATGTCGTGCTGAGGAATTGAACCCAGGGCCTCATGTATGTGAGGCAAGCACTACCACTGAGCCACCTTCCCAGCCCTACATTATTATGATAGTTAGCATTTATTGGTCCTGAAAGCATGTGTATATGTCCTGAGAATTCTATATATATTATTTTTTTTGGGGGGGTCCGGTTGTGGGGCCTGAACTCTGGGCCTGGTCACTGTCCCTCAGCTCTTCAGCTCAAGGCTAGTGCTCTACCACTTGAGCCATGACGTCACTTCCAGCTTTTTTCTTTTCTTTTTTTTTTTTTTGGGGTCTGGTTGTGGGGCCTGAACTCTGGGCCTGGGCGCTTGTCCCTCAGCTCTTCAGCTCAAGCTAGCACTCTACCACTTGAGCCACAGCGCCACTTCCGGCTTTTTTCTTTTTTCTTATGTGGTGCTGAGGAATCGAACCCAGGGCCTCATGCATGCAAGGCAAGCGCTCTACCACTGAGCCATCTTCCCA